ATGCAGTAAATTGTCAATGAGCAACAAGCAAACGGTGAAGCGGTGGACGAGCCAGTGTGTGAAAGAGGGGTGTGTGTCTTTATGTGCAAAGTGGCAAAGCGGCAAAATGAAAAGCGACGGATGATAAAGATGATGATGATGGCAACGGTGTTGGTAGCAGAGCCGCGCGACGTTGAGCCGGCTGGAATGCAAACTTGTAAACTGGCAGTGCCAAAGCGAGAACAACAATAGCAACAATATCTGCACGCAAAAAAACGGAGAGAGCAAAAACACAACTGAAAACAAAAAGTGCAAAACGTGCTAAAAAAAAAACGCTTGGCCACATACCAACGCCGAGCACTTACTACTCGGCAAAGGCAAAGACATGCGAGCATAAGCGCGCTTGTAATGGTTATGTAGTGGCAAGACTACCTTGTATTGGTGTGGGTATAGAGAAGAGATGAATTGCAAGAGGGCAACGCTGGCGCATGTTATAAATTTGTGTTAGTAGCTTGCAAATTTCGGAAACTTCTGGAGCTGAGGTTGTTGGGTCTACACTACGTCCCGGTTTTTGGAAAATTCTGAACTAAGTTACACACATACATACACACTCATAACCGCTATTTCACACCAAAAGTGCCGCTAGCTGCTCGGGCAGCGAAAAGCGCTTGGCACCACGTGTACAATGACTTCTAAAAAAGCAAACAAAAAAATTATTCAAAACAAAGCTGCTAAAACTCGGGTAGCTGGGTGGCAAGCGTAAATAACAACAACAACATTTACTATACCCTGCGCCCAGTCAGTTCTCAACATTAGCGAAAAAAACGGTGAAGGCGAGATAGTCAACGCCACACCAATATCTTCTAGCTGTGAAGAAAATTGGTGCGCTGACGGTGTCTACCGCTGGTAGAGGTTGGCGCAACAGCAGCTCATAAACAAGTCACACCAGCCAACAACACTATATGCATCTGTTTGCATATGCGAATGTGTGTGTGCGTATTTTTTGTCACCGTTCACCACACATTTCCACATCTCAGCAGCAATAAACGTGTCCGCCCCGGTCATTTGCCTGCAGCTGCAGCAAGCGCACGGACACGCGCGCGCCGTTGGCAGCAAGATAGCAAAACTTCTATACAGTGTGCGCAAACAAATATGCAACTATGCAGCAAGTGAAATTCCTGCTTGCAACTTGGCTACTTAAACAATCAGCTGCCTAAGAGTGGTGGGTATGACTTAGACTGCCTTCAAACTTCCTGCCGCATGCCCCACGTCATGCAGCTCTGCTCGTTAACCGCTTTCCGTTTGTCAGTTTGCCGTTTGCCACTTTGCTTTCTGCGTTTGTTGCATTTCCGTCAGCGTAATTTATCGCCGATAGCTATGTTTCTTGTTGCTAGCATATATACATACATTTGTATATACCATGTATATATATGGTGCATATTACATTACTACTTGCAACTGCGGTACGCAAATTTCACAAATTGTTACTGTTGCACTTTGCAAAATTAATTATTTTTCATTACTCATGCAACCGGTCATTTTTCAAATGGTTTAACGGCACATTAGCTGGCAAACTGCTTATATAATGTGCACAATTATATATAAAATTATGTATTATATGTATATAATGAATTATGAGTATTTGCACATTTCAAGGAAATGCCACACAAATCTTTTTGTAAAAAATCGTATTTACCTAAATTCCTTGCGTTTCGTTACTCACTAGCGCCTCTAGTCCGAATGCAGTCAAGTTTTCTTAGCCTAAAACTATGCTATACCTAAATTTAATGTGAAGTGGCTTGTATCATGTATTAAAAGATCATCATGTGTTAAAAGACCGAACTTAACTTTGTGACAGAGAGCTTCATTGAATATTTCGTCTGGGTCGATATATTGGTTCAGAAAATCGCACTTAAAGTTCTTGGAAAATATTTGTAAAGAAGTCACAGAATTTTATGACAGTTGCTGTTGCAGTATTATTATTTATTTTTAAAAACAATCTCCAAACCTCAGCATCTTTGACCGAATTTAAATAATAGGCTTTTCCAATACGGGTCGTATCTCAAATTTTAATGGCCTTCAATCGTGAGAGTTCGGAATTAATGCCGACATCACTGAAAGCTTTATATACCAGCATATTAATATCATTGCCTCGAGTATCATATACCAGTTATACAGCGTTGAATCTGCCTAAGTCACTTACTTAGCTACTAAAATGCTTTTTGTTTTAGGACCAAAACAACTGTTACTTAGACAACTTAATTCCTGTAAAAAAATAATTTACATTTGCTAAGTAATAAAAAGTAAATTTATATCTAACCGAGGTGTACGATAATCACTGACGATTGAATAAAAAATGATCGGACAAAGAGTCGATTTATTCACCATTTATCTACATTTATTCATATAAATATATAAGCATCTAATTTAAATAGTCGCTTCTGCACATTGATCTACGACAAAGTTTCAAAGCTGATGAGCATTTTAACGGAGAGACTCTGGTAAAAGGTATTTTTAAAAATCCCTTTGAAGATCTTTTGCCTGATCTTATTTTTCTTGAACCAATTACGATAGGTCTGACATGAGCTGAATGACAGAGTTTTCAGGTAAATCGAAGTATACGTGAAAATATTTCATAATACAAATAAATGAGGAAAAGTCTATCAAAGTTTTGTGTTGGTGAATCCTAGTAGGCTGTGGCGAAATATTTGAACTCAGTCTTATCAATGGATGTAATATAGAGTACATGGAGTTCAGACTGACTTACTGGATGAATAGAAATTAAGTTGATTTCAATAGATGAGGTTTGATCTATCTGCATTGAATAATGTAAAATATTTATAACGTATTTTAAACACTTTTCTTTAAAATATTTACAGGATGTATATGAATGCAAATCCTTGCAGAACGGACGCTTAGACTATCATACAAAATTTTCGCATACTAAGCCAGCAGTATTTTTTTGTAAAAATAAAAATCATACAATTTGTGTTATTTTCGAAGCTTCGACTTTGATCTTATATAACATCTGTCCACTGGCATATTTTCCTTTTTTATTTGGTTGAATGCCCAGAAAAAAGTAAATTTTGCTGTAGAGTGTAATTTTATTCAATTCATTGCAGCCTTGCTTATTATAACATATTATTATATACCGACATTATTAACTACTGAAAACATTATTAAAAAAATAGTTCATTTATTTGATTTTATCCTTTTTAAAAAGCCACCAAAACAAAGGTCTTGTGCATCCCAACTAATGTTACCGAATTATTGTAGCAAAATTTTTACAAACGTGAAAAAGTCTGCCAAAAATTAAAAAATTAAAAACTTCATAATTTACTAATAGTACTTCCAACGACGAATAAATAATTTACAATAACTCAGAAATTTTAACTTCTTGTCTTTTAAATCCTTGAATATCAACCATAATTTTATGAAGAATATTTTAGAGATATTTCGGGGAAAGAGAAACTAATAAGTTGGTGCAGCTTTACATAATATAATAGTTCACATAACGGTCAATACTGACCCAAACACCTTCCATAAGCAATGATGAACAAAATTAAACCTATGATTTACTTCCTTTAAAAGTTTATATATATATATATATCTACGGTATATCTTGACCTGACCCAAGTGTTTTTTTTTTGTCAATTGTATTGTCAATTGTATGACTGGTTTCCATACGATCTTTCGGATTTAGGTATCCATTAATACAGAAGTCATCACTGATGTGTGAACAGCTTCATGAAACTCAAAAAATTTAAAGTATTTAATACAGTGTGGTACAAATTATTAAATATGTCACAAGGGTTTCAAGTATATCAAATATATTAATTAGTAATGGGTTGCCACTTTACTCAAAATTATAAATGAGTTAAAGTTAGATAAGTGATGATAAGTTTTGATTTTAATGATATTAGCACCTGAAAACAAAAAAAAAAAATTTAATAATGTCACATAATAGTTTAATTTTCAACAATTTACTCAGAAATTTTTATTGTCCACAAACAATTGTATAATTATACCAAAGATAGGGTATATTAAGTTTGCCACGAAGTTTGTTTGCAACACTCAGAAGGAAAAGTCGAATATAATATATATGTAACTGATCAGCGTGACGAGCTGAGTTTATTTACCCATGTCGGTCTCTCTGTAAACATAAGAACTCTTTCCACAGTTTTTGAAATATTGCTCTGAAATTTTGCACACGAAATTTTCTCCTCAAGAAACTGCTCATTTGTCAGAAGCGCCGTTTCGGAATAACAAACTCAACGATCAAAATCAAGTTTTTGTATGTATCTATAAATTTGGCATGGATTATTGTCCGAGACATCGGTGTAATAATGGAAGAAATTGCTGAGATCGGATTACTATAGAATATTGCTGCCATACAAACTGAACGACCAAAATCAAGTTTTTTTATGAAAACGTTTATATTTGTGAAGGATTTTCTGGCTGCAACCGTTTTTTCTTGTTTATATTTTTAATGTTTTTAATTCTATTTAAAATAAGAATTTTAAGTTACTTGAAAATTTTTTTTCAGATGATGTCTCTTAACTATTGTCCCAAAAATAAATTTGTAATAAAAAATTTTAAAATTTTAACGCAGAGATTTTTTAGTTACAATAAACTTTATAGAGTTGTAGAAAATGTTATGCAAAATGGAAGAAAGTCTTTTTTAATATATGTTCCATTTTTAACGCAGACGTAAGATATATCAGCTATATAAAAAAAAAATTATTAAATTAAATTTTTAAGCACAAGTCTTTAAATATATAAAAGCAAAGTAACTAAATTGTAATTAGTAAACTCATTTTTGGAGGTTGCCACTGGGGGCAGTGCTTTGATTTCGTATTGTTTCTTTTCTCATTTACAGGTTAAGTAGCGCTTTAGTGATGCTCACGTACACATATTATATGTATGCGCATTACATACATAAATATATATACGTATGTATAACTGTGTGTAAATATGTAATAATTATATATACGAATATTTTAGGTACATATAATATATACTTTTTGTGATGCTTTGGCTGATTTCTTATTGTCGTTCATGTCGCGTCGAGTATCGTTTGAGTTGATTGAATGTTATTGTTGTTGTTTTTTCAATTATTTTTTCTTAAATAACGGCTTTCAGTAGAATTATCAAGTGCGACGCGTATAAGCGTCTTTCAAATTGTGACAAAAGTGCACCACTCGAATTGACGAATAGAAAACACTAAACACAGAACACTTATTTAATATGAAGAGAATACACTAAGTGAATTTTATTTTAAAATTGAATTTGTTGTAACGTTTCACAAAGTTCTTAAAATTTTATTTAATATCTATAAACAATTAACGCGCGTTTCACACTACCACATTTCCGTTAGACGGCGCGCGGACACAACCTGAACTTATGAATCTCTTTTCGTAACTGAAAACAATTCGGTTATTGTGAAAAGCATCTAGCGGTAAAAGTTGCAGCGGCAGTTGTTATAAGCAACAAACGTACTCATTGTCGCTTCCATTTTTACTCAGCAGCACGAGCACACTCACTATCTGCAGCAAGTCCTTCTTCGCTGTTCGTTAGTCAATAATCGTAGCATTTACACATACACACATACATATGTACTTACAAAGAAGTTCGAAAGGCTGATAAGGGATTCTCATAGTATAACCGTTATTGGCTTATGCTCGTTCCCTATCGGAGCATGTTGATTACCCTTCGGCATTTTAGTCGTCTCCAACGAAGCCTGTGTGTCCGTTTGTTCGCAATGCACCCATTGGTAGGCAGTATGAGTCGGCTGGCAGGCCACTGTGTGCGCTCAGAGCGCGAAATTCGCAATTTAAGTTAGCATTGACAGTAGTGGGAATAGTTGTCACGGTTGCATCTTCGAATTTTTGAACTTACGTTCCACCACGTGGTGGTATTGTAATGCTGCAGCGGAAAGAGTTGTTTATGAGAGTGCGCCTATATGCTGCCAGAGTTGCCTCATTACTACCTGGTGTAAATATAGAAAAAATATATAAAGCTCTGTATACAGCGACTATCGCAACTAGAGGTATCTAATTAATTCTAATTAAAACTTTTATACCATAAACTCAACCGACCCTTTTAGAAAAAACAGTTATTGTTAAACGAAACCAAGTATTATTTTTTATTTACTTTACGCAATGAGTTTCAAATGATCTACGTATTTTCGTCTCATATCGGAACCCTTTCAAAAACTTGTTTCCTTGTCCACCAGTAAAGTAGTCTTGGGAGCTGGTACTGCTACAGGCCTCATCAATGGGGTCTAGCACATTATTTAAAAAAATATCTTCTTTCGAAAACCTGCTCCCAGATTTCGAATAACTTAAATACTTAATTTCTTTACGTTCATAATACAAGTATGAAGCTTCATACATATTTGTAATTTTTACGAGGACGCTCTTCTAAATTCTTAGTCTATAAACTACGAAGCATTTTGGAAAAATACGATTTATATTTATCTTAACTACATACTATGTTCGACCCAGCGGTGCTCCAACTTCTTTAACACATCTGAAAAATATTTTATCGAGGTTCGCAATTCAAGCTTCACTAGCGGCGGTAACTCTCTCATTTGGTTAAAATTTCTGTTTGGCCAGTGTCTTTTCCTAGTTTGGCACACAAAACGAAGTCGCACGAGGCTACATCTGGATTGTACGGTGGATGGGACAGCTCGAACAATTCTGTCATTGCAATGATGAGAAGTAAGCAGGTGCGAAATCATGGTGTAGGAGCACTTTTTTCGTTAATTGCATTCGTGTTTTCTGAAATTTGGAGACGAATTGGTGCCATAATTTAGCTTAGCTTTATAAGAAAATATCTGCCAATATACCAAGTTTAAGGCTGATTTTAATTTTTTCAACAATAATAAGAGAGCAAAATGGGGAGTGAAAGAAAGAAAATTAAGGTATTCAATAGAATAAAGGCATTACCATTAAGAAATCGGCTTTAATCTATATAATTCATAGTTCGGCAATATGAAATGTTGGTAACAGAACATCGATACGCGTTAGATATCGACAGACACCTTCGTCTAGAGCTTTCGCATGTTTTTCGTAAAAGTTCAATTCCCTTCTAATCCCTGCGATATATTTCAATAAGTAAAAATTATTTAAATTTTGGATAAAATATTTAACTTGAGTCATCAACTTTTAAAGCTAAGACAAAGCACCAACCAAACCGGTTGCTGAGAAACATTGATAATGTTTGATTTCTTGCAACAAATTCCTTACTGCTTTCACATAATACAACAAACTATCAGACATGTATCTATGCTTGTTGAGTAGCTTTGGCTAACAAACTTTTGAAAGGCATCAGACGCGTCTGATATTTCGTTTATAATTTCATATACATAAGGGTGGTAAGGTTTACTGTAGAAAGAAAATAAGTTCCTAGTAGGTAGGTAGGTAGAGTGGATGTCCTACGACGCACCTTGGCCTTTAGGAGTCCCATTGTGAAACCACCGGAACTAAAATCTTCCTCGCTCTATTATGTGCTCTCTAAACCTCCCTGTATTTCTGTTGAAGCTCATCAATACAAATACTTCATAGAAAGTAGGAGAGAATTATACAACATCATTACCATTCAAGTCCTGTAATCGTATCTTGAGGGACTACCTATTAAAAATCCAGGTCCACAAATGTTTAGCAGAAAGCAAGAAGAAGTAAATAATTTTTCCTTATTATTTTAGATATTGGAAATATGACGGCCTACGAAGCCAAGGAGATAGTTTTGAGATTACTTAGCCAAACATCCATGTATTCAATCTCAATCCTTAGTAAATTAGTCTTATTCAAAGTGAAGGTGCTTATATGACACATCTCTAAGGTATGATTATGGGGTTGGCAGCGATTTTGAAAAGCATTAAGCATTTTGTAAAATTTGACCTTCCCTAATACATATTCTTATCAAACGAGTATTGACGCTCATATTACACATTTTAACTACAGAATGTTTACCGGAAAATAACTTTGTTTCAATTGTTTTGAGTCAATTGGTATGAAGTATGCTTTTCACATTTTCACATTTTAGTTCGAACCCACACACATTTATCTATTTAGACACTTTAGTATCAACAATCATTCGTTGAGTTGTGAATAGCATTCGGAATTGTTTATTTCCAAATGTGAATATGATTACCTTAAGCTATAAGTAACTCTAAGTCGTTTGTTCAAAACGCAAAATATTTGAAAACAATTCCTTTACAAACTGCACTAAGATGTACTCTTAAGAGAAATATCATTGTATTCAAGTGGCTTGTTAGTGTGACAATCACTGGGTGGGTTTGTTAGATAACTCTAGGTAAACCTTCCTTTATGCAAAGCATGTCAAATAATTTCACACTTCTTCAAAATGATAAACTTAGAGATAAGGCTTAATTTTAATTTAGTTATGTTATAAACAATCTCGTCCTAAATACTAAAACACTACGTAAATGTAGACCCGTGTGGTACTGTTATAGGTATGCTGAACTACGCACTTGAACTGAAACATTAATAAATAAAATTCCGTTTCGTTCCCTGAACTATTTCTACAAAAGGTATTAGTAATCGAAAAGTTTCTCTTGGTTAGGTTATGTTGGTTTTCATGGCTGCTGACCGACTTGGGAATCACACTTGGATTGCCAAAGTCCTTTGTGAAGTCAGAAACCTTTTATAGTTAGATCTCTTGTATGGATAAAGCGCTAAGTAATTTAAATTCTTCATTCATAGAGGACGACGACACGAGTTAAATTTCTGGTGACAGACGTCCGTCCGTTCGTGTAAGCGGATATCTTAATGAATATTGATCAATCCTTGGATACCATCAATAGCAAGCGTTATAATACGATGTTGACCGGCTTTTTTTCCGCAATTTGATATAATCGACACGGATGAGCTCTATCTCCTATAGGATGGTGCGCCACCTCATGTTTCACGTCTAAACATAGACACATTTCGTGCAAAGTTTGGCGACACGTAAATTTCGGGAAATGGCCCGGTCAAATGACCGCCAAGATCATGCGATTTACCGCCTCTAGATTATTTTCTCTCGGTGTATGTCAAGGGAATACGCCAATCAACCAGCAACGCTCCAAGAGCTCGAAGACAACATTTAGCGCTCTATAGCCGAACTGCTGCACAGGGCCAACGAAAATTGGCGTAATTGGGTGGAGATATGCAAACAGAGATGTGGTAGCCATTTGACCGACAATTTGTTCAAATTTTAACTGGCATACAATTATCTGTATAACAAAAAAAAATAAAAAACACAGATCCTATTTTGACCAAAATTTAAGTGTTTTATTTCATTTTAACATCACGTGGTTCTTGTTAGTAGACCCTATATAACGTGATGATATGTCATAATGGATAATGTCGGGCTTTATGTACCTAATATAAGATTTTAAAACATCCGGTTTGCTTTATACTGTTTATTTAGCTCAATCTGGAAGATATTTTGTCGAAATTAATTGAACGTATAATATTGGATATATGCACTCAAGATCAAATTTGACCCGGACTGATCCATTTAAACTGCGCGCGTAAACCGATTGATTTTTATATATTGTGTCAATGGGCTCATGGCACTTTTTAATATTATTCTAGCAGACTTTATGCGGAATATTTATTTCAGTTTTAGAGTTATCTTAAAAGAGTTACGTTAAATAATGCACAAGTGATTTCCGTATTTTCACCTAACTTTAAACCATTTAAGTTGGTCAAAATGTGATTGTGTGATATTTTGAACATATTTCCTGAACCCTTATATAGTTTACTGCTGAATATGTAAGAAATTGGTCTAAACTTTTGGTCTGTGCTTCATAGCCTTAATATAATGACTTCCGATTGTTGGTTGAGTTTTTCCTCATATACCCAATCACCAAATATAGATAAATAGATTGAAATTTGAGGACTGCATTGTGCTCCTACCAAGGTATTTCTCGAGGATGCGGTCCTCCAATCACTTTTACTTCATTGCTTTCGCAATCGTGGAGTTTACGTGCTTTTTCCACCTAAGTTTTGAATCTCAATGAATGGAAGAGTTCTCCTTCTTGTAAAAGTAATGATGTCAGTTTTTTATGGGTCCATGTTAAGCTTAACGTTTACGCATCAATTTTTTCTAGCGTGAGTTCTCTTTGAATGATGTCACATAATGCGACTTTCTCCCTTCTGCAGTAAGGCTAGAAAAGTTCCGTCAGCATCTAATGCTTTAAACTTGGTAAATGTGAAATCATAGTCCATCTAACCGAGTTGTTAGTGAAGATTCCCTTAGCCACTTTCCAGTCCATCGGGACTGGTCTATAATCGGGGGTTGGGGTTACTTGTTCCTAAAATACCGCTCCAGGGGAGTGCACTTCTAACAGCGCTTTCGCCCTGTCCTCCATACTGGTTGTATAGGTGCCATCCGGTTGCCTAATTGGCAGCTTTATCTCTACAGCTCCTTTGGCGAGAGCCTTGTGGGGCCCAGCTTCCACTGGGGTTGTATAATCATCTTTTCAAAACTTCCAGAAGTTATCTCTCTTG